TCTCCTGTGGTGTGTGCTCACCCGCCCACTGCCTTCAGCAGCCAGGCTGCTCGAGATGACAGCTGAGGGGAGAAAGGAGAGCACTTGGAATGCGCAGGAGGAGAGCTGGCTGAAGGCAGACCTACCTTTATGCAACAGCAAAGGCATGGGGTCAACAGCAAAGCAGCGGCACACACGCTGGTGGTTAATTCGGGAAGAAAGGCACATGAATCTCTGTCTTTTGCAGGCAGCTCTCCAAGAATTTGGGGGCTGTTGGAGTTGTACTCGCAACCTGGCAGGGGGGAAGAGAGCAGGGAAGGCTGTTGAGAAATGCTGGAGGATTCTGCAGGATGTTTGAATTGAAAGAAAGGACAGAGAAGCATGAAGCATGCTGTGGAAGCAGGATGTGGGATAGAGACAGTGTTTATACAGTCAGCCATGGGCTAATCCACAGGAGGCTTTGGAGACCATAAAAGCCATCTGTAAGTGGATAGATCACATTCTACAGGAAACTGGTGGTTTAAAACAATGCTACCCTCATGCTTTGATCTGTCCTGAAGCCTTGGGAGCACAAAGAGAAGAGGAGGTTAAGTAGGTCCCTAAGTCCTGCTGGCACAGGCAGAGTGGTAGGAAGGACCAGTTGTGGACCTGCTCCCAAACAAGAACTTGGGGCCATTCAGACAGAACTACAGCAGGCAGGTACAGGGCAAAAAGAAGGACTCTGGTTCCTCTCAAAGCTCAGGCAGACCAAGTCTTCCCTGCAGGAAGGGAACGGGTGTCACAGACCCACAGAGACGCCAGACAAGTTCTTGACATTTCCACTCAAGACAAAACCCATGAGTGGATGCACAGAGTGACACCTGGACATGAAAGGACATGAAATAACGTGACCTTTCGTGATTTAAAAGTGTTATTTCACATCCAGCAATGAAACTAGCAGGGATGGTATTCTTAAAAATACCTCAGAGCAATCATCCTCTTCCTCTGGTGCAAACAATGAGAAGCAAAAGGTGAGCCAGAGAAATGGCATCTGCAGTTCTCCACTTTCAGTACGGAGATGCTGGGGATTCATATTGTTCTCCAACTGAATCGCTTGACCTCAGTGCAGTTCAGGCTAATTACTCCTAAGAATACGTTTGTTTGCTCCCTGCATGGCTGGCATGTTTCTTCTAAGAGTGATAGATGAAATATCGCTTTTATGACAGCACAGTTTGGGTTGACTGAATCAACGGCTGTTGGCTGAGTAATCCAGGCAAACAGAAACACTGCTTGTGATAAAAGAAGACCTGAGAATTTCCTCATTAGTGCCTAGATATTTTTATACCAGTTCACTCCCTTTCTGCTTACCATGCCTTTAATCTCCAAGGCTGATGCAGAAAATAGAGGGGATTCATCTCTCTACTCAAAGCAAGGTCATCTCCTGGCAACTGCTTATTGAGCTGGGACAGCACATGGAGACTAATTTTGTTGCACTGTGCTCAGAACTCAGTTGAGGAAAGGGGGAAGAAGTGGGAAGAACAGTGGAGGGAAGCTGAGAGGGAAATCATGCCCATTCTGGGCTGAGTGGCTGAAGCTACCATTTCTTCTGCTGCTCAGCACCAGCAAGGAAAGGGAACCTTTCTCTTTCTCCATCACCTGCAGGAATCCATACCACAGTCCTGCCTGAAGAAACCACCGCTCTCCCAGAAAGGCCATCCTTTCTCTTCATATTCTGTAAAAATAAAGCTCTTACCATTCTTTGTACAAAGCAGAGCATTTCTGAGGCTGCTAAAATTCTCTTTTGGTAGCTTGGATGAGTGGGTTCAAGCATGTATTTAACATTAAATGGAGGCCTAAGCTTTACTACCAGGAAAAGAGTGTTTAGTTTGCAGCATGCCTTGTCCTGCGTGGAAAGATGTTGCTTCTGTCTGCTTCTGAGCTCCAGAGAGCCTTTCTTGTACTGCTTGGGACCGACTTGAGGCAGCAGGCACCAGATGTTGGGACCTCTTGGCAGGCTTTTCTTAACACTACAGATCTTTTCCCCTTACAAGTCTGGCACCTGAATTGCTAGCAAATGATCTCCAGCTGTTCCACAGGGGACTGCTCTTTGTGCACTGCTATGCATGCAGCACACGGAGCAGAGCCAAGCATCCATCCAGCTCCTCAGCTTCTCCTCGTGCTTTGTGCAATACAGCCATGCAGGGGGCTGGTGCTTGCCAGACACAATTAGCTATAGGGGATGAGCCTCTGAATGTGCTCATATACCCCAGTTGCTTCCCCCAGCCATATGTCAAAGAAGATAACCACAGCAGGCAGCTCTGAATCAATGGATGCTTTGTTTCTCCGGGCTTTGGGAACCATGTCTGCAGAGTGGAACTGCTGGAAGGCAGAGGGGGAATCAAGCTGCTATCACCAAGTATGGAGAGCTGCTCCCCAGAGGGTGTTACAAGGCAGCCAGCAGGGGAAAAGGGGTGGGAAACTGGGAGGAGACCTTGTCCTTCAAATAAAGCGTGGGATCAAAGCCCACCAGAAGTTGAAGGGGTTCTGTCATTATTTCTGTTTGGTTTTCCTTTCCTCCCTTCCCTTCTCTGTCACACATTCTGCCCCTTTTCCTGTTCTCTGATCAAGGAATGACCACATACTCCACAACAGTGCTCACACTTCTTTGTAGAGGTTAATGCTGTGGCTTTGCAGGACAGAAAGAAAAACCTTCAGAAAGCAGAAAGTGGGGCCTTACTCCAGTGCATGATTTGCTAGAGGAAGTAATCCACTTTGGATCAGCTGGTGGGAAGAAGTAATCATTTTGGGGCTGCTCCCAAGAAACAGAAGCCCACCATGCCCTTTTAATTGCTTTCTCTATTTGCTCAACAAAAATAGAAGTCCTTTGAAAGACTGAAGGAAAAAAAGCACCATTAATTGATGGAGATCAGCCACAGGAAATCTACCAGAATTATTCCAAATTACCTCTGGGAGCAGCTTGGCAACTGCCTGAGGAAGCAGAACACATTCAACCAGAACTGCCCGGACCAGACTGCAGCTCCCTTCATGTCCGTAGCTTTGCAGAGCTCCAGGAGAGCCACCATGTTCCGCTGACCTCCGGGCGGCTTCACCTCGCACTGCAGCTCCCCGAAGTTCGCACTCTGAAGATGTGTGTGACAGGATCGCCCTCTAAAGGGAACAGCTGAGAAAACCTCATCAAATCACGCAGGCGAAGTTAAGAACGTGGGCACGGCTGAAGCGACGACCACTTCTCACCCAGAGCCTTTTTGTCCTGCCTTCAAATACGCTTGTAAACATTATTTACGCTCTGCAATCATGAATAAAGACAGCCACACTACTGCACGCTTAGCTCATGCCATTCTCCTGAGCCATTAACTCGTGGAGTCTGCCCCTGGCTGAGCTCATCCATCTATAAGCATAATCACAGGTGTGAGCATCATCCGTGCTACAATTAAGAACGTTCTCTCCTACAATCTGAACTCCGCACAAGGCAGGATTTCGGCTGCTTTATTTTAAAACTTGATGTCCCTCAGGGATCTAAAGGGCTAATTCTAGTTGCTGGGTTTTACGTATTTGCTTCTCAGGAAAGCTAAAAGCAGGCAGGCAGGCTGCCAGCCACATCTTCACAGAGGAAATGAAGGCAGTGTTAATTACTGCCTTCCTGTGTCTCACTCTTCCTTCCAGAAGGCTCTCACAGGGCAGGAAGGCACTGAAGCTCTCGTGCAATGAGCCAGGGGTTCTCTGCTCGTGCTTGGGCAGCTCACGAGGTTCTCTGCAGTTCCTGGAAGGCACAGAGGGCTGGGAAAGGCTTCCTAGGCAGACGCTTAATAGGGGAAGAGGCTTATTTCTAAGAGCACACTGCTGTCTCTTTGCAGCCTTCTTGTCTCACTGTAATAAAGTGATTCTTGCAGCCTATTGACATTTTAAAAGAGACTTTTAGGAAGCAATATGAGCCATCCTGGAGAGCAAAGAACTTACCAGCCAGGTTAAATCCACACTCTGGAAAGAATCAAATACTAAAATAGGAGCAAGGCCAGGAGTATCCAGGCATTAAAAAACACAACTCCACACTGCCTTTTCCTGGGAACTTGAGTGCTGTGCCCACAGAGGGCCTCCCATGTGGGCAGCAGCTCCTGGCCGTCCTGCTGCCACCAGAGGGGATCCCGGGGCAGACACCAGCCTCCTTGGTGGCGCAGCTCCCTGGGACAGGGCTGGGTGCTGTTGCCAGGTCAGGCAGATCTGTCGTCATGCTGTAGGATGCCACTATAAGCTTTGCTGTGGAGAACCAGGCACCTTTATGTTTGAGGAATGCATCTTCCCTCTGAGCACCTCAAGGAAGCGCATCCCCCACTCGCAGACATCTCAGGGTGACACCCGTTACGCGCTGGGCTCGTATCCACCCTCAGATTCCTCCTCTTTCAGACTCAGGTTTGCTCAGTCTCCATTTCCCGCTGCTTTCCCTCACAAGGTTGAACAATGCTTTGGGACCAGCAAAAAGCCATTACAAAGTCCTATTTTCCCTCCCTTTGCTTCAGCTGCACCACAAGCGATCCCACAGCTTTCAGGGCAGCTTTTTACCTGCGCACACAGCCAAACACCACGCACCCAAAGCACGGCTCACACATTAACTACTGCCTAACCCTAACCTCCAGCCCACAAGCCCTTCTGAAGCGCCCCTCCTGCACAGTGAGCTCACGCTTTCAGCCCTTTGAGGCACTCTATGGCCACGTGTGCCTCCCCAGCAAACAGAGGGCAGCTGGGAGCACTGATAGTGCTGAGGCCTGGCGACCGGCCCAGCACTGGGCACGGCAGGGCAGCATGGCCTCACTGCGGCCTGCCCCACTGGGCCTAAGGGAGCGCCTCTGGAAGAGCCAGGCCTCGCCCTGGTGAGGAGTTGTGCGCGTTTATTTCCTTATTTCTCAAGGAGCACTGAGGGCTCCGACGTTGCACAAGGCCGCGGGGACACGGCGCTGCACTACGCTTCCCGGCAGCCCCCGCGCGTCCATTTTCTCGCTCCCTCTCTCGCGAGACTTGGTGGGCGAGGTGGGCGCGCGCAGCCCGTTCTTCCGGTCTTCGTGACGACATGGCGGCGGTGCTGGTGGCGGTGAGTGGGGCGCGGCGCCATCGCCGGCAATCCGCGGTCGCGACGGCACCGGGGAGCGCGGGGAAGGCACGGACGGGAGCGGGGGGCTGTCGCGTACCATCACGGCTGCTTGCAGAACGCGAGGCCTCCGTGTCTTCTTGCGGGGAGGCAGCCTTTCGCCTCCCCCGGTGAGGCCTCCCCCGGTGAGGCCTCCACGGCGGCGCGGCGCGCCGAGAGGACACGGCCTCGCATCCGCCTCTCCCTCTGAGGCGCCCAGGCCGGGCCGTTAGGCCTGACGTGCAGCGATTCCTCCGCCGCGCGGTGCTCAACACCGCTGTGGGTTCGGCTCAGCGCAGCCGTCAGCGCAGCGGCTGAGCGGAGAGCCGCGCTGCAGTGCCCGAACCCGGCCGTTAGGGGGCGCTGCTGCCCGCCGTCCCCTCGCTGTGCTCATGGCTCCGCGTGCGGGGCGGACCGCGCGGTCTGGGTTTCGGCCGAGCCGGTGATGAGGTGGTTGGTTATCCCTGTCCGAAGCGTTCTGCTGTGGAAGTGTGACTCTGAGGCTCAGCGTCGGAAGCGAGGAGGTAAAAGAACGGTTTGTTATGTGGACTAACTCTTATCTCTCCGTTCTTTCAGGTGGCAGCATGTTGTCCAGCAAAGGGAAAAACACCCTTTGCACTCACCTTCCCGGGAGGGTGAGTCTTTCACCGGGCTGGCAGTAAGCCTGCATCAGCAGCACAAAGGTGAGAAACAGCAGCACTCAACTCCTCATACCTCAGTTTTCTCCTATTGCTGGGCTGTAGAGATCAGGCTTGTTCTGCTGTGTCAGGTGATACCCCTCTGGGCCCCTGGGGCTGCTGGGAGGAGGTATGAAAGCCTGATGGCTTGATGAATGTAATTAAGCCAATCAAGACTGGCTTTGTTGCAGCTGCCATCTGAGTGTGCAGCCCTTTGCTGCCATGTAGCGCAAGCTGAGAGGCAGCACACAGTGAATGGGAGCTTTAATGTGGTTGGTGCCCTGCAGAGCACCTGCTTGTCAGCATTGTTGGAGATGAGCAAGAGTAGAAGGGATTAGAAGTAGATTGGATGACAGCTCATTGTGGAGACGCAGTTCATCTCATGAGTGTGTTTGTCACAGAAGTAGACCTAGTGAAAGGATAATTGGTCTGTGTGCTTATCTGGAGGTGTGCTGGGATGGTTTTAAACTTGCATCGGGTTGCTGGGAGCAGCTCACGCAGACCAAAAGGTCACCAAAAAGGGACACTGGAGAATCCTTCCCCAGGACAGATGCATCTTTTTGCGACCTGCTTGAATGCATTTCCCAAGATAAATCCATAGATAACTTCTATCTCACATGAGTGGGTTATTCTCTGCGAGCTGTATGAGGCATTTCTGTACGATGAGAAGTCGCAGACTGCATGAACGGCATATAAAGGTCTAAACCACCAAAGCCTCTGAGCTTGTATTTTTTTCCTAAGGAAAGGTTTAAATAGCATCTGCCTCCCAAAGCCTCTTGTCTCGAGTGAAACAACTCGCTGACAAACATGCCCCTTGGTTTCTGAGGGACTGGTTTCTGCTATGCTAAGTTGAAGGCAAAGATTGCCCATCTTAGAAAGGAAAACTTGTCCAGTTCTTGCTTTGTGACTTGGGGCTGGTTTTTGTCAGTAGGGCTGGAGGAGAAACAAAGGCAGGACAATCTTAGCTTGGAGGGTTGTTGCTAACAGCATTCGATGCAATTTCCATTTAGGAGGAAAATGTTGTGCAGAACCCTGGGGTTGGATCATCCCCCAGAGGCAGCTTTGGCGAGAAGGCAGCTGTGAAGTCGGACCTCAAACTGGTAAGAGAATCTGTGAGTATTTCTGTTAATCTTACACTCTGATGTGCCAAAACTGCAGGCAGTGTGACTCATCTGCTGACGAGAACGCCTAATCTTTGAGCAGTTCCCAGGAAGGACACAGCTCACATGGCTGCTTTTGGGCGTCCGCGGAGAACTCGGGGAGTTGGTGAGAGCAGGGCAGGAACAGAGCCGGTGATGTGCTGTTATCCCTGTCTGACAACTCAGCTGTGAAGGAGATTGTCCTACTGAGGCTTCTGTGTTTGTTCCACTCTTCTGTCTCTGCAAGACGTAGGAGAACTGCAGTGATGCAGGTGCCCATGAGGAGGGCAGAGAGCAGCAGCTGTCCTCTTCTTCCTGCAGTTGCAATGCATGGCTGCAGCACAAGCACTTGTCTGTATGCCTGTATCTGCCTTAGGAGCCCAGATATGGCAAGACTGTGCAGGGACCATAATAATAAACATAGGCTGCTGTTGTCATAAGTATGGTTTAGTTCTACATCTTCGAAGAGCTTTTAAGTTGCTTGTCCAAACAGTAAGGCACATTTGGAGGGTAGATAAGCACATTTTAATCTTGCATAGTCACTAAATACACACTCTGCTAGAGCACTTTATCTCCAGGTGGCTGACAGCTGCATTCTGCTCAATAATTCCATGCTTTATTTAACAGAACTCGTGTCTGTTTGTAGAAGATCTGTTCTGTGCACTGATGGGCTGAACCAGCAGACTTGACGGCAGCACACTTCCGTAGGAAATAAAGGTTGGTATACAAAAAGGGAGGAGATGTTACTGCAGCCAGCATGGTGGCAGCTTTGTCAATACAGATAGGCTCCAAAAAGCAGTCACAGGGAAAAGCACATGGAGCTTTGGGCTTCCAAGGAGCAGGGGGGGAAAAAACAAAGCATGCTTTTGGTCTTGCAAGGGAGAGGTGTGTGCTCTTGAGTCAATAATGCACAGCATTGGGAACTTTTCAGCTGATGGTTGCTTCTGCTCTGGCTCTCTTTTCCACAGGACCTGGTGTGCAGCTGGAGGAAGGAGCAAGTGGTTCCTGCAGTGCTGTTTTTGAATAAAACAAATCATTGAAAATCAGAGAGTCAAGTCTTTTTTGGGTATCTGCTTTGAACAGAAATGGCTTTGGGCAAGTAGAAAGGATTTCATATTGAAATGCCTTCTGAAATAAGAGCAAGCGTGAGCTTATTCTCTGCCTCATACAGTCTCCAGATTTCATTGTCTTCCACAGGAGAATGCAAAAGTTGAGGAGATTGAACTCAGTAACTGTGACTATGGTTGGTCTGGGGCTGAGAAAGATGGGCTGCTTGTGGTCGGCTCAGGCGCCCCAAGATAAGGGAGCAGTGACAGGCAGCAGGGTAACATCAGGGTCCTGGGCTGCTAAGGTGAGAGATTGGGGTGCCTTAACCCCAGGCTAGAGGGAAAGAAACCTGTTTTAAAACAGAGGAGCTGTGTGTGAGTACAGCATGTTCTGGGCAGGGCTCATGGTGAGATGCTGCACCGTGTCTGCATTCCTTTTTCACAGCTGTTCTTTGCCACCTGTGGCACCAATGGGTTCAGAGCCACATGGGCTGTGCTCTCACTTGAGCTGAGGAGCTTTTGGTGCTCTTTTAGGCGATGTGAGAACCAGAGGCCGTGTCATGGAAGAGGTTTTGCTGAGTGTTTGTATGTAAAAACAGGCGTAGCAGGCTGCCATGGTACCATTGTGCAGTGTCTGCCACGAACAAAGGTTAATTGGAGGCGTACCTGAGAAGGCAAACAGGGCTCCGCTAGAGATTACATCTGAAGCAGGTCGAAGCAGCTGAGTGCAGCTTTGTCACAAAGGAGGATGGAGCTGGAGGGGAGCACGAGGTGCCCTGGCTCTCAGCCCTGTTATCTCCTGCCATATCTGCAATTGTCCCCTCCACCGTTCAGCTGACGTACAGCAAATGGCATCGAGGTGAGAAGAGGCTGCTTTCAAACTGCCCAGCGAGCCACTGCAGCCACCGCCCTGGGCGCTGTGTTCTTCCAGAGCTCTGCTTGGGCACCTGCAGCATCCCTGCAGCCCCACTCCCACCCCTAACCCACACTTCTGCCATTCCCAAATCAGAGCCTCGCTGTGTTACAGGAGGCAGGATGCTTTGTCCAACCCACCCCATTCACTAAACCAGGCGTAGAAGAAAATAATGACTCAATGTTCCTCTAATTACACCAAGTAATCAGATCACACCGCTCCCTTTGCTGTGCAGCATCAGCCCTGCAGCCACCACCACGAGCTGGAGGAGCCTCCACCACTCCACTGCAGCAGTGCTGGATTACACAGGACGGGGGAAGGGTTGAAGACCACCTCCCTGTGGGTTTCCTTTTTTAAGTACCACGCTGCTGACAGCTCTGCCCTGCAGGTTCTGCAGCCCACCCAGTGTGACTTCGAGGCTGTAACTCCAGAAAGTTCCAAGAAGTGAGGTCTGGCAGATGCGTGCTTCCCCAGCATCTCCTTCCAGCACCACGTTGCCCCACCTGCAGATGAATGCTGTGCTTCCCATGGGCTGCTGCTGCCCCACAGACATTCTCAAGGCATCAGGAGCTCACAGCCACGTGCAGAGGTGTCCCAAAGCCACGCTCAGAATCACAAATGAGATGCTGGAGGGCCCTGAGGAGTTGCAGGATTTCCCCGCCAGCCTTGGCTCGCCCTGCACCATCACCTTTGCTCTGCTGTCAGCTGCAGGCCCTGCTGCTCAGGCTGGCTTGCGGGTATGGGAGAGCCCTCCAGGGACAGAAGGAGGCCTTCAGGAAAGAGGAGAACTTCTGTGCCGTGCTGAGAGTCCTTGCAGTGGGATTGAGCTGCCCTCACGCTGATACAGCTCCATGATCCCCGCCTGGTGCAAACTCCTCCACAGCTCTGCTTCCAGCAGCATGTCGTGGTTGGCGTAGAACACCAGCGGCTTCTTCTCTGGCTCGTAGTAATGGTCAGAGAACTGCTCATAGTTGGCCGTGATGAACCCATAGGCACTGACCTGTGGGTAATGGGACAGGGGAAGAAGGCTGGCGATGGGCTCAGGGTGGGAGGTCCCCCCAGGCGCCGGGGCAAGGCGTCCCCTCACCTGGTCGCAGGTGTGCAGTGCTGTCAGCAGCATGAGCGCCCCAGTGCTGGGCATGTAGAGGTGGCCGTACTGCATGTCCAGGAGCTCTGACCTCAGGAACCTGCAGAGCAGAGGCAGCGCTGGGAGAGGGGCATGGCGTTAAGACCCCCCCACCCAAACAGCACTGTGAGGCAGGGCACCCACCAAAACGTGGCCTCTCATGGCATTTAGAAGGGGGAATATGTGGATGCTCTGATGTCTGCTGCTAAGGCTCAATACATTCTCTGCCATTCAATACATTCTCTGCCAGCTGCTAAAACATACCTCCCCTTAATTTAAAATTGCTCCAAACGAGAAACACTGAAAAACAAACCCAAATCTTTGGACCTTCCCTCTACTCCCATTAGAACAGTTCAAAACCGGCTATGAAATGGAGGGCCAGGTGAATGCAAGGCTGCATGAGCCTCCCCACAAGGAGGAGACGTGAGCACTGCAGTGAATGGGATCTGCAGGGGGGAACATCTGCCTCCTCATCCTCACCTGGTCGTCAGGTAATGCAAGAAATCGGGATGCAGCAGCTTGAACTTCTCTGCGGATGCTTCCAGTCCAAAATACTTCTGTGGCCTGCAGCAGGGAGAGAACTAGTGTCACCTGGGGTAGAGCTGGGCATGTCGTGGCCCATTGGTGAGTTCACTCACTCGTCACCCTTGTCCAAGCCCTCGGGGACCGGGCTGCCCTGAATGGCCGACCTCAGCATGATGTAATCGCGTGCGTCCGAGGGGATGAAGATATACTTCAGATCCTGCAGCAGGAACACAGGCATGGTGGGGACTGAGGCTCCTGAAGCTTGGAGGAGCCTCAGAGGTCAACTTATCACAAAATCATTAAGGAAGGACCATTAAGATCATTTGGTGTAACCAGCAACCCATCACCGCTATGCCATTAACCTCATCATTCAGTGCAACATCTGCTCTTTTCTTGAGAGCCTCCAGGAATGGTGACCCCCCACCCCCCCGGCAGCCCGTTCTCAGGGGTGGGCACCCTGACATACCCTCAGGGTCTCACCTTGCCCTGCGGTATCTGGCTGAAGCCATACGCCTCATAGGCAATGAGGGAGTTCTTCATGGTATTCACCGTGAAGCCGTAGAACGAAACCTTGGTCCCAACATCCTCCTCAAAGCCTTTGATGATGGCCCCATTGAGCCTGCAGGATTGCCATGGGACAACATCCGGGGCTGGGCTCACCCCAGCACCCACAGCCTCGCTGTGCCCTCCCAGCCTTACCTGAAGACCAGATCATGTGCATCGATGGCCCGGCCCTGCCGTGAGCCATTCAGGATCCCCCCATTGCCCACCACGGCGCAGCGCACGCAGCCCCCGGGGAAGCGGTCACGGCCAAAGAGCTGAGTGTTGGAGGAGCTGTTAAGGAGGTGCAGGGTGCTGCCCACAGCTGGATTGGGAAAAAAGGGAGAAGTACGTGTCAGCAGTGCTGGGAGCACTTCAAGCACGCGTGTGTGGATGGCTGCACCTCAGGTGGGAAGAATCACAGCATTGCTACGGTTGGAAAAGCCCTCTAGGATCTCTGAGTCCAACCCCAACCCACCCCCAGTGACCACATCCCTCAGTGCCACATCTCTGTGGTTCTTCAACACCTCCAGGGATGGCGACTCCACCACTCCCTGGGCAGCTGTGCCACTGCAGCACCGCTCTTTTGGAGAAGAAATCTCCTCTCCCAGCCCCATATTACTGACCCCGCTCCCCACAGCAGCTGCCCAATGCTGTACAAGGCACAAGGACACATCTGGACAGCCCCAGACCTGTGAGATGCCAGCGCCGGCCGCTTCCCCTCCTGACAAAGCCTTCTTGCAACCACCCCCTCCTTGCTCCCCCCATCCCCATCACTTCCCTGCTGGGGAGAGCAGTGAGTAGGTTTGGACTTGGAAGGGAAACAATCTCCACTGACAACAATGGAGCGGGTTGTCCGAGGTCTTCCGTGCCTCAGTTCATCATCATGCACACACTGGAGCTTTTATTTGGGGTAAATGTCACAAGATGCTGCAAAGTGGCATTTGCAGAGCTGTCCCCACCACCCCGCTCCCTGGGAGTGGGAACAGACTGAGATCCCCAGCTCCTCTGTGGGGTTTCTCCATTTCTGACCCTTTCTGTCAAGGTCCCCTTGAGCCCCCCAGGCCCCATACCTGCTTGGGATAAGCCCTGCCAGCCGTATGGGACACGTCGTGCCTTCAGCCTGTCCCACGTCTTGGGGTTGAAGTGTTGGTCCCACATCAGCACCGGGATGTCAAATTGGAAGAGCTCCTTAAATGCGGGGTCTGCCTTCACCGTGGCCACCACCGAGCGGGGGCACAGGGTGGGCTGCAGGGGGAGAAGGGTCAACACTGAGCCTGGAGAAGCCTCAGGAGGCACCAAGGGGAGGTTAGACCCAGGGACAGAGCTGCTCCTTTCTGGCTGCTGGAGGCACAGCGCTGCCTCGCGCCTCCGTGTCCCAAATGCAGAGCCCATCTCCTCAGGGTGCTGAAGGATTGGGTTTTATGGAGATGCACGTGAACATCTCCTACCCCGGGCACCTGGATGGAGCACAGGGACAGCCCCAGCTCACAGGAGCAGCCCCTCGATGTGGGGACAGGCTGGTGGCCCAGGGGACAGCACCAGGGACAACCCCACGTCCTGCTGATTGTCACCTGCTTTCCACTGGGTTTGGGCTTCTCCGGCTCTGAGGATGGTTGGGAGAACTCCCTGCTGGAATGGGAGAAGTATAGCAGTGAGAAGGGTTCAGGAGGCTCCCGCACACACTGGGGCCATCATGAACTCCCCCTCTCCCCCCATTTACCTCTTCACAGTCCCTCCGAGGTCCTGCTGGTGGCTGTTGTCTGGATGTGAGGTGTCTGGGCGGACCAGGAACAGCAGCTCTGGCTGCAGCAGGCTGCAAGGGGACAACAGGAGGGTGACACCGAGTCCTCAACACATTCCTTATCCTGACAGCCCCTGCCCATCACTGCACTGGGAAAACAGTGGGGCTATTAGGGCTCTGCAGGGGGGTGCAAGGGTGGCTGGGGAATGCTCTGATGCCCCACATCAGTGCCACCCCATGCTTGGAGACACAGCAGCGTGCCCC